AAGCGGGGTAGGGTCGGCCTAGGAAGGGTTGGAGGGAGGGGTAAAGGAGGTTTGTGTGCGAGGGGCTTGGACTTCCAGCAGGCATGCGTGAGCGTGTTTGATAGGAGTGAATGGAGACAAATGGTTTTTAATACTTGACGTGCTGTTGGAGTGTGAGCAAAGTAACATTTATGAAGGGATTCAGGGAAACCGGCAGGCCGGACTTGAGTCCTGGAGATGGGAAGTACAGTGCCTGCACTCTGAAGGAGGGGTGTTAATGTTGCAGTTTAAAAACTGTAGTGTAAAGCACCCTTCTGGCAAGACAGTGATGGAGTGAATGATGGTGAAAGTTTTTCTTTTTCGGGCCACCCTGCCTTGGTGGGAATCGGCCGGTGTGATAATATAAAAAATATAAGTCTGTCATAAAGAGATTTACCAGTTTTCCCGAAGTACTGAAGAGGACAAGAGGAACAAGAAAAAGAGTAGACACCAGGAGCATCTGTAGAGGGAGGAGAGGTATGAACGAGATTAGTGCGAAGATTGTTAGTCTGGCGGAAAGTAAGCTTGATGTCTAAGGAACGGAGAGAGTTGTTGAGATTAGAAAGACTAAAAATATAGGGAAGGCAGAGGACAGGAGTGTTCCCAGGAGTAGAGAGTTTAGGAGAGAAGAAAGTCCATTTAGCACGTGAGAAGACAGTATTTGAAATGGGAAGGGTAGCCAAGAAGGGAAAATGAATTGTGAAGAGTGGAAATTTCTTATTCAAGGAACTGAGAGTCACAAATGCAGTGGGCATGGAGAAAGAGGGAGATGAGAGCACTTTTCTTGACAGAGGAACCATGACAAGAAAAGTAGTGAATGTACATGCCACTGTGCATAGGTTTGCGGTAAACGGAGAGGTGGACATGAACATCAAGGAAAGGAAACAAAGAATTAGATTCCCATTCAACTTTAAACTTAATGGAAGGAGCAAGCTTATTAAGAGCATCAAAAAATGGTTGAAAGAGACTAGAGTCATGAGGCCAAAGAGCCAGAGTGAAGGGCCCACATCAATAGTAGGAAGAACAGTATGGAAGCATTCCATGGAAAGATTAGCAAGGACAGGAGAGAGAGGAGAGCCCATAGCGACACCGAAGGTGTCGCTATGCAAGGAAAAGGAATTAGAGTCCACACAAAGACGGATAAGATCAAGAAAGACATCAGTAGGTATAGGGAGATGAAGAAACCCTTCACTGGCCTGCTCCCTAAGAAAATTAAGGACATCATCAAGAGGGACATTAGTGAAGAGGGATTCAACGTCAAGACTAAGCATCTTACAGGTCGGGAGAGAACGAACCCGTTCAATGAAGTCTTGAGAGTAACGGAGGTGGGCAGGAGAAAAAGTACCAAGAAAGGGAGTGAGGGTTTTGGCCAGCCAAGAAGCAAGAGAATAAGAGACAGAACCTCTAGAGTCTAGAGGATATGATGGGACGCAGAGGAATATCAGGTTTATGAGTTTTGGGAAGGCCATAGAAATAGGGCAGAGAAGAACAGATGACACGAAACCGTTGAACAAGATCAAAGTCAGGAGGACAGAGGTCGGAGAGTCCTTAGTTTCTTATTGAAGTTTCTCTTGATGCTGGTCCAATTGCTTTGCTTCTGTAGCTAGAAATAGGCAATTATGAATGAATAATCACACGGGAATGCGCATTCGCCTGAGTGTGAGTTTTTCCCACGAAAAGAGAAGCAATTATGGTCGGTGACCAGAGGCTATCATCATAAATACATTGGCTGCCACACGTTTCCGTGAGGTGAGGTAAGTGAAGGTACAACCATCCCTCCCATCCCATACCCATCCCGCCGTCCGTCACATCTCCCATCCAATACCCATCCCCCCGTCCGCCACATCTCCCATCCTATACCCATCCTCCCGTCCCTCACGTCTCCTTCCCTCCCATTCCTCTCCCCTCCACTGAGAGACGGAGAGAAAGAGAGAGAGAATATACCTCCACTGGTACCACACACATCCTGTCGTGACATATGTACGTATAACGAGAAAGTGTAACAGCTTCGTGGGAAAACATGAGTATTCTCTTCCATGTAACGTCTACCAATAAAATAATGAATATAAATATAATAAATAGCTCTACCCCCAGTATGAAGGAAGATACGACATATACCTTTAATTTTTAACCTACAGACAGTATAACACATCCTGCAGCTGGTCTAGCCCTGACTGATATTCAAGACCTTGCCTGGTGTGGTCTTGCCTCTCAGGTACTTTGTGGTCTTGTTGACCAAAATAGGTAGGTTGTTGAGCATCAGGTCGAGGTACACTCACCGTGAGCTTCACTAAGTACTATGATACAGTCACTGAGCGAGACGTATTTTAATATAGGCTTATTGTAGCAGCGTGTTCGTGGCTCACAAAGTGTCGGCTCTCTGCCCATCATTCATGCAAACTCTGTACCAATATGAACCACATTCTGGGGTTAAATACAAGACAGGAAACAGAAGCATTTTGAAAGAATAAGTAAATGATTCATAGCAATTTCCGAGGGTGTTTTTAGATAATTTTTATGATCCATAAGGATCAGCTTCAGGCTCATTACTACTCACATAATCGTAATAACACGATTGGAAACAAACCACCGCACGAGTTCTGTTAGAACCCATAGCGAGTGAGTCGTGAGTTGTGTGAGTGCGTAAACCACTGGGCCATGCTAACCTTCCTACATAAGTTAGTGTAGCCAGCTGGCCCAGTGGCTTACTCACTGGCCTGCACTTTTACCACTCACTTGCCATGGGTTCTAACCCCACCAGTACCGTGTTATTTTAGGCTCATTGTTGTTTATAATATACATTAATGTCCTTGACGAAGGAATAAAATGTTGTTCCCTTAGATAGGATTGAAAATGGGTTGGGTAAATATTTTTGTTAGTGGGTTTGAGAAGAACGTGCCTAGTATGGGCCTGCAGCAGTGTTTCTTCTTTCTCATGTAAAAAAGAACATGCAAAGCACTAATAATCATATAGCGTCTGGGGAATGGGTGTATTTTCACAGTGGATCCAAGGAAGGACGGGTAGTTCCCTCTTCCTCGTATCAAGATCCCTTCACCAGCACCTAGGCACCCTTCTTGAAGAGACGGATTCATCTGTACACTTTCTTACTCTGGTAAGGCAGCAGAAGTACGGCATCAGTGTGTACACTTTCAAGCCCTGACTATGGTGCACCTCTTCACTATGTATGTGCCACAGATTATTACATAATTTATTATATAAACGTTTTTCTTACAACCAGTTTGTTTCGCTTCACTCTCGTAAACGTTTTACGACATCCACTGAACTTGAGAGTGTCAGATGTATAGATTGTCTCTCGTCTGAGTAGCCAGTCAGTGAATTAGGAAAAATATGAAATATTGCCAGTGTTGTGTGTGTGTGTGTGTGCTAGTGTTGTTTGTGTGTGTGTTGTTTGTTTGTTTGTTTGTTTGTGTGTGTGTGTGTGTACGTTCGTGCGTGCATGTGCGAGGCTTCATTTCACCTGCGCTTGTTAAATCATTCCAACACAACAAACACTAAGAGGTATACACAATGTTGCATCAGGTTGTCTGGCGTGCAGACACACCCCCCTCACACATGTACTAATGTCAGGGGTCGTTATCATTGAGTATGAAGGAGAGCTAAATTGTCAGTAGTCAGAGGGAACAATGTATAGAGGGAGCTGGATACAAGTGGTTGCAACAACAAGTAGTCCAGGGTGTGTCAAGGAGACCTATTTAGAGGATGTATTTCCCCTCTTACCTATAGCCGGAAGCCCCGGTGAGTGTCTTTCTTACCTGTACTGCCGGATGCAAGGTGAGGCGCGATGACGTTCGTCCTGGGAGGATATCCACGTCTTGCTGAGCTCCTTGCGTCACTTGGGATATCTGCTGAGTCTCAGTTCATGCTATCACTGCCATATACTTTCACTTATGTATTTTCCATGAAAACACTGATAACTTAAGGCAGGACTGTCAATGGGAGGGCAGTGTTACACTGTAAGTCGTCAAATATTAATATATTCACAGAGCCCTATACTGTACAATCATGTAATGTTCCACTGCACTCGGGGATAATAATACAATGTAACTTAACTGTACTGAGCAACTTACTCTGAACCCGCGAAATTAAAGCTCACAGTAATTTTTCAGGTCCAACAACGCAGATTCAACTTGACACTGACCGTCAAGAGTCAAGCTTGCCCGGCGCTCTGGCTGACCCTTCAGAGGGCACAACAGGACAGGGACCACCGCGAGCTACACCAAAAGCTTCAATAAACTGCTCCGTTTTTCACCGGACGCCAAGTAATTATAGGCTCGCAGGGCCAGGGTCAACAAAGGCCGTTTCGTGAATCACGTCCGCTGTGGACACACACTCTTCTGTGGTTGCTTGTTTGCTGGCCGGGGATTTCTCTTCTTTCTTGAGGGGACTGTAACTTTATACTGAAATAAGCTTGAGGCAACTGGCCGTTCTTGTATTGCAACCAGAGCCAAGAGCTTTAGTTTCTCCGGAGGTCACGGCTGCCTGAGCTATGACTCTCTGGTTGACTGCGAACTACAGGCTTTTGGCCAGGCTTCTTCCTGAAAAGTTAAAGATAAAAGCAAATTATAGCGATTTATGGAAATACTTTGACGAAGAAGTCATCAAGAGGTGGCTGGGAGGGCAGACGTTGATGAAGAAGTCATTAAGAGGTGGCTGGGAGGGCAGACGTTGATGAAGAAGTCATTAAGAGGTGGCTGGGAGGGCAGACGTTGATGAAGAAGTCATTAAGAGGTGGCTGGTGAGGGCAGACGTTGATGAAGAAGTCATTAAGAGGTGGCTGGGAGGGCAGACGTTGATGAAGAAGTCATCAAGAGGTGGCTGGGAGGGCAGACGTTGATGAAGAAGTCATTAAGAGGTGGCTGGGTGAGGGCAGACGATGATGAAGAAGTCATTAAGAGGTGGCTGGGAGGGCAGACGTTGATGAATAAGTCATTAAGAGGTGGCTGGGAGGGCAGACGATGATGAAGAAGTTATCAAGAGGTGGCAGGGAGGGCAGACGTTGATGAAGAAGTCATTAAGAGGTGGCTGGGAGGGCAGACGTTGATGAAGAAGTCATTAAGAGGTGGCTGGGTGAGGGCAGACGATGATGAAGAAGTCATTAAGAGGTGGCTGGGAGGGCAGACGTTGATGAAGAAGTCATCAAGAGGTGGCTGGGAGGGCAGACGTTGATGAAGAAGTCATCAAGAGGTGGCTGGGAGGGCAGACGTTGATGAAGAAGTTATCAAGAGGTGGCTGGGAGGGCAGACGTTGATGAAGAAGTTATCAAGAGGTGGCAGGGAGGGCAGACGTTGATGAAGAAGTTATCAAGAGGTGGCTGGGTGAGGGCAGACGTTGATGAAGAAGTTATCAAGAGGTGGCAGGGAGGGCAGACGTTGATGAAGAAGTTATCAAGAGGTGGCAGGGAGGGCAGACGTTGATGAAGTCATCAAGAGGTGGCTGGGAGGGCAGACGTTGATGAAGAAGTTATCAAGAGGTGGCAGGGAGGGCAGACGTTGATGAAGAAGTTATCAAGAGGTGGCAGGGAGGGCAGACGTTGATGAAGAAGTTATCAAGAGGTGGCAGGGAGGGCAGACGTTGAGAAGTCATCAAGAGGTGGCGGGAGGGCAGACGTTGATGAAGAAGTTATCAAGAGGTGGCTGGGAGGGCAGACGTTGATGAAGAAGTCATCAAGAGGTGGCTGGGAGGGCAGACGTTGATGAAGAAGTTATCAAGAGGTGGCTGGGAGGGCAGACGTTGATGAAGAAGTTATCAAGAGGTGGCTGGGAGGGCAGACGTTGATGAAGAAGTTATCAAGAGGTGGCTGGGAGGGCAGACGTTGATGAAGAAGTTCATCAAGAGGTGGCTGGGAGGGCAGACGTTGATGAAGAAGTTATCAAGAGGTGGCTGGGAGGGCAGACGTTGATGAAGAAGTTATTAAGAGGTGGCAGGGAGGGCAGACGTTGATGAAGAAGTTATCAAGAGGTGGCTGGGAGGGCAGACGTTGATGAAGTCATCAAGAGGTAGCTGGGAGGGCAGACGTTGATGAAGAAGTCATTAAGAGGTGGCAGGGAGGGCAGACGATGATGAAGAAGTCATCAAGAGGTGGCAGGGAGGGCAGACGTTGATGAAGAAGTTATCAAGAGGTGGCTGGAGGGCAGACGTGATGAAGTTATCAAGAGGTGGCTGCGGAGGGCAGACGTTGATGAAGAAGTTATCAAGAGGTGCAGGGAGGGCAGACGTTGATGAAGTCATCAAGAGGTGGCTGGGAGGCAGACGTTGATGAGAAGTTATCAAGAAGGTGGCTGGGAGGCAGTACGTGATGAAGAAGTCATCAAGAGGTGGCTGGGAGGCAGACGTTGAGAAGAAGTTATCGAGGTGGCTGGGAGGGCAGACGTTGATGAAGAAGTTATCAAGAGGTGGTGGAGGCACAGAGTTGATGAAAAGTATCAAGAGGTGGCTGGAGGGCAACTTTGATGAAGAAGTTTCAAGAGGTGGCTGGAGGGCAGACGTTGATGAAGAAGTTCATCAAGAGGTGGCTGGGAAGGGCAGACGTTTGAAAGAAGTCATCAAGAGGTGGCTGGGTAGGGCAGACGTGATGAGAAGTCATCAAGAGGTGGCAGGGAGGGCAGACGTTGATGAAAAGTTATCAAGAGGTGGCTGGGAGGGCCAAGACGTTGGATGAGAAGTTATCAAGAGGTGGCAGGGAGGGCAGACTATTGAAACAGTATCAAGAGGTGGCTGGGAGGGCAGACGTTGATGAAGAAGTTATCAAGAGGTGGCTGGGAGGCAGACGTTGATGAGTTATCAAGAGGTGGCTGGGAGGGCAGACGTTGAGAAAGAAGTCATCAAGAGGTGGTGGGAGGGCAGACGTTGATGAAGAAGTTATCAAGAGGTGGCTGGGAGGGCAGACGTTGAAGAAGTTATCAAGAGGTGGCTGGGAGGGCAGACGTTGAAGAAAAGTCATCAAGAGGTGGCGGGTGAGGGCAGAACGTTGATGAAGAAGTTATCAAGAGGTGGTGGGAGGGCAGACGTTGATGAAGAAGTCATCAAGAGGTGGCTGGAGGGCAAGACGTTGATGAAAAGTTATCAAGTAGGTGGACTAGTGAGGGCAGACGTAGATGAAAAGTTATCAACAGTGGTGAGGCAGACGTTGCAAGAAGTTATCAAGAGTGGCTGGAGGCAGACACGTTGAAGAAGTTATCACAGAGGTGGCTGGAGGGATATGATCAGGTCAGCTCAACAAAATAAACATACCAGATCTTACAATTATGCAGTTAACACTAACAACAACAGCAATAGGAACACGTAGCGAACACTAGCTTCACAACCACGTAGTGAACACTAGCTTCACAACCACGTAGTGAACACTAGCTTCACAACCACGTAGTGAACACTAGTTTCACAACCACATAGTGAACACTAGCTTCACAACCACGTAGTGAACACGAGTTTCACAACCACGTAGTTAACACTAGTTTCACAACCACGTAGTGAACACTAGCTTCACAACCACGTAGTTAACACTAGCTTCACAACCACGTAGTGAACACTAGCTTCACAACCACGTAGTGAACACTGTTCACAACCACGTAGTGAACACTAGTTCACAACCACGTAGTGAACACTAGTTTCACAACTACGAAGTTAACACTAGTTTCACAACACGTTGTGAACACTAGTTCACTAACCAGTAGTGAACACTAGTTCACAACCACGTTAGTGAAACTAGTTTCACACACGAGTGAACATAGTTCGAACCGTGTTCAATAACATCAACACCGTTGTGAACACTATGTTTCACACCAGGTAGTTGAAACTATTAACAACAACACCGGTTGTGAAACTAGTTTCACAACGTTAGTTAACATAATCAACAAAGTAGTGAAACTAGTTTCACACTACGTAGTTGTACACTAGTGTTCACTACGTGTTTTTGTTCATGTTAACTACGTGGTTGTGAAACTAGTGTTCACTACGTATTGTTGTTGTTGTTAGTGTTAACTACGTGGTTGTGAAACTAGTGTTCACTACGTGGTTGTGAAACTAGTGTTCACTACGTGGTTGTGAAACTAGTGTTCACTACATGGTTGTGAAACTAGTGTTTACTACGTGATTGTGAAACTAGTGTTCACTACATGGTTGTGAAACTAGTGTTCACTACGTGGTTGTGAAACTAGTGTTCACTACGTGGTTGTGAAACTAGTGTTCACTACGTGGTTGTGAAACTAGTGTTCACTACGTGGTTGTGAAACTAGTGTTCACTATGTGGTTGTGAAACTAGTGTTCACTACGTGGTTGTGAAACTAGTGTTCACTACGTGGTTGTGAAACTAGTGTTCACTACGTGGTTGTGAAACTAGTGTTCACTACGTGGTTGTGAAACTAGTGTTCACTACGTGGTTGTGAAACTAGTGTTCACTACGTGGTTGTGAAACTAGTGTTCACTACGTGGTTGTGAAACTAGTGTTCACTACGTGGTTGTGAAACTAGTGTTCACTACGTGGTTGTGAAACTAGTGTTCACTACGTGGTTGTGAAACTAGTGTTCACGACGTGGTTGTGAAACTAGTGTTCACTACGTGGTTGTGAAACTAGTGTTCACTACGTGGTTGTGAAACTAGTGTTCACTACGTGGTTGTGAAACTAGTGTTCACTACGTGGTTGTGAAGCTAGTGTTCACTACGTGGTTGTGAAACTAGTGTTCACTACGTGGTTGTGAAACTAGTGTTAACTACGTAGTGTACACTAGTTTCACAACCACGTAGTGAATAACATTAACAACGCACAGTGAACACTAGTTTCACTACCACGTAGTTAACACTAACAACAACACGTAGTGAACGCTAGCTTCATAACCACGTAGTTAACACTAACAACAACAACACGTACTGAACACTAGTTTCACAACCACGTAGTTAACACAACAACAACAACACGAAGTGAACACTAGTTTCACAACCAAGTAGTTAACACTAATTTCTCAACCACGTAGTGAACACTAGTTTAAGAACCATGTAGTTAACACTAACACATAGTGAATACTAGTTTCACAACCACGTAGTGAACACTAGTTTAACAACCATGTAGTTAACACTAACAACAACAACAGCACGTAGTTAACACTAGTTTCACAACCACGTAGTTAACACTAACAAAAACAGCACGTAGTTAACACTAGTTTCACAACCACGTAGTTAACACTAACAACAACAGCACGTAGTTAACACTAGTTTCACAACCACGTAGTTAACACTAACAACAACAACAACAGCACGTAGTTAACACTAGTTTCACAACCACGCAGTTAACACTAACAACAACAACAGCACGTAGTTAACACTAGTTTCACAACCACGTAGTTAACACTAACAACAACAACAGCACGTAGTTAACACTAGTTTCACAACCACGTAGTTAACACTAACAACAACAACAGCACGTAGTTAACACTAGTTTCACAACCACGTAGTTAACACTAACAACAACAACAGCACGTAGTTAACACTAGTTTCACAACCACGTAGTTAACACTAACAACAACAGCACGTAGTTAACACTAGTTTCACAACCACGTAGTTAACACTAACAACAACAACAACAGCACGTAGTTAACACTAGTTTCACAACCACGCAGTTAACACTAACAACAACAACAGCACGTAGTTAACACTAGTTTCACAACCACGTAGTTAACACTAACAACAACAACAGCACGTAGTTAACACTAGTTTCACAACCACGTAGTTAACACTAACAACAACAACAGCACGTAGTTAACACTAGTTTCACAACCACGTAGTTAACACTAACAACAACAACAGCACGTAGTTAACACTAGTTTCACAACCACGTAGTTAACACTAACAACAACAGCACGTAGTTAACACTAGTTTCACAACACGTAGTTGACACTAACAACAACAACAACAGCACGTAGTTAACACTAGTTTCACAACCACGCAGTTAACACTAACAACAACAACAGCACGTAGTTAACACTAGTTTCACAACCACGTAGTTAACACTAAAAACAACAACAGCACGTAGTTACACTAGTTTCACAACCACGTAGTTAACACTAACAACAACAACAGCACGTAGTTAACACTAGTTTCACAACCACGTAGTTAACACTAACAACAACAACAGCACGTAGTTAACACTAGTTTCACAACCACGTAGTTAACACTAACAACAACAACAGCACGTAGTTAACACTAGTTTCACAACACACGTAGTTAACACTAACAACAACAACAGCACGTAGTTAACACTAGTTTCACAACCACGTAGTTAACACTAACAACAACAGCACGTAGTTAACACTAGTTTCACAACCACGTAGTTAACACTAACAACAACAACAACAGCACGTAGTTAACACTAGTTTCACAACCACGCAGTTAACACTAACAACAACAACAGCACGTAGTTAACACTAGTTTCACAACCACGTAGTTAACACTAAAAACAACAACAGCACGTAGTTAACACTAGTTTCACAACCACGTAGTTAACACTAACAACAACAACAGCACGTAGTTAACACTAGTTTCACAACCACGTAGTTAACACTAACAACAACAACAGCACGTAGTTAACACTAGTTTCACAACCACGTAGTTAACACTAACAACAACAACAGCACGTAGTTATACACTAGTTTCACAACCACGTAGTTAACACTAACAACAACAACAGCACGTAGTTAACACTAGTTTCACAACCACGTAGTTAACACTAACAACAACAGCACGTAGTTAACACTAGTTTCACAACCACGTAGTTAACACTAACAACAACAACAACAGCACGTAGTTAACACTAGTTTCACAACCACGCAGTTAACACTAACAACAACAACAGCACGTAGTTAACACTAGTTTCACAACCACGTAGTTAACACTAAAAACAACAACAGCACGTAGTTAACACTAGTTTCACAACCACGTAGTTAACACTAACAACAACAACAGCACGTAGTTAACACTAGTTTCACAACCACGTAGTTAACACTAACAACAACAACAGCACGTAGTTAACACTAGTTTCACAACCACGTAGTTAACACTAACAACAACAACAGCACGTAGTTAACACTAGTTTCACAACCACGTAGTTAACACTAACAACAACAACAGCACGTAGTTAACACTAGTTTCACAACCCGTAGTTAACACTAACAACAACAACAGCACGTAGTTAACACTAGTTTCACAACCACGTAGTTAACACTAACAACAACAACAGCACGTAGTTAACACTAGTTTCACAACCACGTAGTTAACACTAACAACAACAGCACGTAGTTAACACTAGTTTCACAACCACGTAGTTAACACTAACAACAACAACAACAGCACGTAGTTAACACTAGTTTCACAACCACGCAGTTAACACTAACAACAACAACAGCACGTAGTTAACACTAGTTTCACAACCACGTAGTTAACACTAAAAACAACAACAGCACGTAGTTAACACTAGTTTCACAACCACGTAGTTAACACTAACAACAACAACAGCACGTAGTTAACACTAGTTTCACAACCACGTAGTTAACACTAACAACAACAACAGCACGTAGTTAACACTAGTTTCACAACCACGTAGTTAACACTAACAACAACAACAGCACGTAGTTAACACTAGTTTCACAACCACGTAGTTAACACTAACAACAAACAACAGCACGTAGTTAACACTAGTTTCACAACCACGTAGTTAACACTAACAACAACAACAGCACGTAGTTAACACTAGTTTCACAACCACGTAGTTAACACTAACAACAACACACTTTGTACACACGTCTACATTCTATATTCATTTAAGTTAATTTTTACCGTAAGTCGTCGCTCTGTGTATGTATTTCGTTGTCAATATACCTGTCATTTATGTGTGTGTGTGTGTGTGTGTGTGTGTGTGTGTGTGTGTGTGTGTGTGTGTGTACCAGTCATGCCTACCTGTGTGTGTACAAGTCATGTCTACCTGTGTGTGTACCAGTCATGTCTACTTGTGTGTGTACCAGTCATGTCTGCCTGTGTGTGTACAAGTCATGTCTACCTGTGTGTGTTCCAGTTATGTCTACTTTTGTGTGTAGCAGTCATGTCTGCCTGTGTGTGTACAAATCATGTCTGCCTGTGTGTGTGTACCAGTCATGTCTACCTGTGTGTGTAGCAATCACGTGGTATAATTGCTTGAAACAATGGTATGAAACTCCGTGGCATGAGGTTTAACATGTATGTAGTAGCGTTCATTTTCACAGTGTAGTGGAAGACTGGAATGGTCTCCCCACAGTGGTTATTGGTCCCTCATCAGTTCAGTCTCCTGAATACCAGCTGAACACTCACACTTAACACAACTGGACGCAGGTAGGTACCTGGCTAACACCCAGGCACCTACTTACTGCTAGGTGAACAGGGACAGCGGGTGTTTTAAGGAAGCACGCCCCAATATTTCCACCTGTACCGGTGGATCGAACCACGGACCTCAGTTTGTGAGGCGAGTGTGCTACCAACCGAGCTACTCTGAATGTTCCATTGTTCACACCCACCTAAAGCACAAAACTAGAAAAAGAACTAAAGAACAGAAGTCCACAATACCGTAGCTGGAACAAGTCAACAGAATTCCACAATTAGGAGAGGTCCATCCTGGACCATTGTCAAGTCACAACTGGAAGAGAAGAGAAGGCCTATAGTTGTACCAATAAGATAAATTAGCGATAGAAGATCTATAGTTGACAGTAGAGTAGCCAACTACAACACGTCCTACCATTATAGTATTTTATATTTTTTTCCCCTCGTTTCATGATAGTATTGACCGCAGAGAGTGGAGTGTGAAAAGAGAGCCTTCTGCTTTACAATCCAGGCCTCAACCATCAATAAAATAATAGATAGTCCTCAGTTGAGATAGTAGTAGATAGTACTCTGCACACAGTGTCACACTGAAGTGAAAATCTATTATCTGAAACCCCCCCCCCCGTCTGTCTCTCTCTCTGTTTGTCTGTCTGTATTCCCCTAGCTCACCTAATTGTGACTAAAAAGATTGAGTCAAAGCTCCTGGACCGGTCTCTTCACTGGTCACTCATTCCTGTTCCACGAGCTTTATCATATCTCTTCTTAAGGTTATGTATAGATCTGTCTGTCAGTCTGTCTGTCTGTCCCTATGTCTGTCTGTCTCTATGTCTGATTGTCTGTTATCTGTTTGTCTGTCTGTCTCTCTGTGTCTGATTGTGTCTGTCTGTCTCTGTGTCTGATTGTTTCTCTCTTAACATTTTTTTGCTGCTCCGCTTCCCTCCTTCTTCTCTTGTTGTTCCGCGTACTGATGCTGTTCCTCCTCCTGCTCCTGCTCCTCCTCCTGCTCTTGCTCCTGCTTCCCCTGCTCCTGCCCCTGCTCCTGCTTCTCCTCCGGCTCCTGCTCCACCTCCTTCTCCTACTCCTCGTGCTCCTCCTCCTCCTGCTGTCCTCCTCCTCCTGCTGCCATCCTACTCTCTCCTGTTCCTGCTCCTCCTCCTGGTTCTCCTGCTGGCCCTCCTGCTCCTCCTGCTGCTCTTCCTGCTCCTCCTCCTGCTCCTCCTGCTTCTCCTGCTCCTGATCCTCCTGTTGCTGCTCCTCCTGCTTGCTCCTCCTGCTCCTCTCTCCTGCTCCTTCTGCTTCTGGTCCTACTGCTGCTCCTCCTGCCTTCTCTCCTGCTCCTGGTCCTTCTGCTGCTCCTCCTTCTCCTCCTGTTCCTCCTTTTGCTCCTGCTCCTAATCCTTCTCCTCCTGCTGCTCCTCCTGCTGCTCCTCCTCTCCTCCTGTCCCTCCTGCTCCTGCTCTTCCATGCGCTTTTCCCTGCATACTCCTCCGCTGCTACCTCCTGCTCCTCCCCTGCTCCATCCTGCTCCTTCTCCTGCTGCTCCTGCGCTCCTCCTGCTCCTACTCCTCCTCTTCACATCCGTCCCATACAACCAGCACCTCCAGTAAGGTTCACAAATGCGGGTGGTAATACCCATTTGTACCAATAACTCCACAGTTCCGGAGGCGGTGACGTGGAACAGCTATGTCACTTATCCGGACACCCCTCTCACTTATCCGGACACCCTTCTCACTTATCCGGCACACCCTACTCACTTATCAGACACCCTCTCACTTATCCGGACACCCCTCTCACTTATCCGGACACCCTCTCACTTATCCGGACACCCTCTCACTTATCCGGACACCCTCTCACTTATCCGGACACCATCTTACCTATCCGCACATCGTCTCACTTATCATGACACCCTGTCACGACTATCAGTCACTGTCACGACTATCAGTCACTGTCACAACTATTAGTCACTGTCACGACCATCAGTCACTGTCACGACTCTGTCACGGTCACGACTATCAGTCACTGTCACAACTATCAGTCACTGTTACGACTATCAATCACTGTCACGACTATGAGTCACTGTCACGACTATCAGCCACTGTCACGACTATCAGCACTGTCACGACTATCAGTCACTGTTACGACTATCAGTCACTGTTACGACTATCAGTCACTGTGACGACTATCAGTCACTGTTACGACAATCAGTCACTGTTACGACAATCAGTCACTGTGACGACTATCAGTCACTGTCACAATTATCAGTCACTGTCACGACTATCAGTCACTGTCACGACTATCAGTCACTTTCATAACTATCACTCACTGTCACAACTATCAGTCACTGTCATAACTATCAGTCACTGTCACAACTATCAGTCACTGTCACGACTACCAGTCACTGTCAGGACTATCAGTCACTGTCACGAGTATCAGTCACTGTCACGACTATCAGTCACTGTCACAACAATTAGTCACTATCAAGACTATCAGTTATTGTCACGACTATCAGTCACTGTCACAACAATCAGTCACTGTCAAGACTATCAATCACTGTCACGACTATCAGTCACTGTACGCTTATCGTCACTTCACGACTACATCACTGTCAAGACTTCAGTCACTGTCACGACTATCAGTCACTGTTACGACTATCATTGTCACGTCTCAGAACCAGTCAACTGTCAAGACTATCAGTTCATGTGAGATATAGTATTCCGTTCAACTATCAGTCACTGTCGCAACATCTGAGTATTGTCAGACTATCAGTCACTGTTACCTGTATCAACCACATCTCAGAAACTATTAAGTTCCTGTCATAAACTGTCAGTCACTGTCACAACTATCGTCAGTGTTAGGCTATCAACCATCTAAACTATTAATACTGTCACTGTCGTCACCTGTCAACAACTGATCAGTTCACTGTTACGGCTTTCAACCACTCTCAGAAACTATTAATTACTGTAAGATTTTTAAATTTTATGTCATTATAGTATATTCCCAGTTTATATACATTGACAGTTTATTCCTCGTGATGTTATTCACTGACATACTCGTTTTATACAGTGGAGAGTGAAGTGGTGGAGGCAGGACCATACATAGCTTGAAGAAGAGGTACAATAAGGTTCTTGGATCAGGGAGAGTAAACCTAGTAGAGACTAGCAAAGATGCGGGGCCAGATATGTTGATGTGGTTTCGACCTGCATACCACGAAAGGGTAGTATACTTGGTACATAATACGACATTGTTAAAGACAGTAGCAAACACATGAACATTTTGTTTTTACGTCGTTTTAACTTCGGTCTGTTTAGAAGTGATCAAGGTCTCAGGACCGAAAATTTTGAATAATTGTGTCTATTGCGTGCAGCACAGCATCGCCTGGTTGATAGGCTCTGATCACAGGAGCTGGTCTCAGACCGGGCGCGGGGGCGTGACCCCGGAACTTCTCCAGGTAAACTAGTTTATTGTTTGCTGACGTGTGTTTATAAACCACACTGAAAGATATATACCTGTCAGTATATATGAAGTACACTGAGATATATACATTTCTCGATGTATATACACTGGCAGTTAACTTGGTTCCAATGAACTTCGACGCTTGTAGGTTACATTCTCCTGTAAATGATTTGAAAATACTTATTACGTGGGTAAAATACTGTCAGTAGATCTCACTACACATTCCGGCCTAATAGGCCCAACTTCTTTAAATACTGGACTTAAAAAATTACAGTTAGGTGAGAACTCCTTGTTATTATGGTCCCAGTTAGTGAGTACGTATTAAATCGTCCTTATTACAACTTACGATGTACTGTGAAGGACAGTTTATCGCTGTCTACACGAGAGTACGTCGAAGAGTGCATCTATGTTCTTACATTACTCTTCAAGAATGAATTTTAGGGAGGCTTCAACTGTTCTGAGTTTCAGGACTCTCTTACCAGCAGTTTTATCCCTCACCAGTTTCCTGATTCGTCTGTTACAGTGTTATTACAACTTCGTGAGTCATGCGTTGAGTGATTTTAGTAGTTTACTAATGCAGAAGCTCTTAGTACTGTGTGGAGGATATCACGTAGATACCGTTGTAACGTTGCAGTGTAGAAAATGGACTGCGTAAATGTCAACGGATCCTGAGGATCTAGTGGTCGTGTAACACGGAGTTCCTAGAGAAGTGTGTGATTATTTTCCGAGTGTTCTCTAAGCTACACTTCTCTCGTGTCATGAGTGAGAACCGACTCTGTGCTTCACTTATCATCAACACTTACAAGGATAACAAATTTTTGGAGAGATTCATAGCTGTCCCTAACAATAAGACGGCTAGTAATTTTTACAATGCTTTTTTTAAGTGTAATCTTAATGCAGATACTTCCACCGGCACTTCTATTAAGGACTAAACCAGCCAGGCTACCTATAACCAAGAATGCTGTATTTTTCATACCATATAGTCTGCAGTAGTCCTCAACTTTCCTACACAAGTGGGCCACATTCCATGGTCAAATGTGTGATGAGGGCAGCGGTGTGGAACCTACATAATAGTGAATTCATAAATTCATGCGAGGGCCCCATCCATTTCCTAGAAGGGCCACATGCGGCCTGCAGGCCGCATGTTGGTGACCCCTGGTGCGGAGAGACTTCCTGGGAAGGAGATGAATTGTATAAAATACCGACAAGATGGAATGACTGCGTTCTACATCGATGCTTCCAAAACCATTTAATCAACTACAAAGAAGCAAGACTCATCGTCAGGGAAGAAGAAACTCAGTGTCGCAGGATCTTGGAATCATCAGTCATCTGTATAACTAACAACGGCTGTCACAACATAACTGATCCCCTTGCCAGGAAACTTCAGCATCGTTATCCTACATAACACACCTACTCACTCATCCGTCTTATATACATCCTACCCAGCATTTTCCACCTGACTCTCTATCCTAAATTTACTCATGTACTCTTCACGCAGGTAAATCTGTTTGTGACTTGATAAAACTCATTGTGTGGGCAAAACGTAGCCAATAAAGGATACCATTATAATGCATTTGTGTCTATTTTTCCAATTTCCCAGGAAATTTCACACCCGTGCCAGTGAACATAAACACGCCTAACAATGTTAATTCCTGTGCTGTGACAAAAGTTTCCCAGATGTTGCACAGGTGTCTCATTCTTCAATTCCCATGTTGTTTACTGACAGCCACGACCACTTGAGGAAGTGGAGTGATGTCATCAGTCACACAGGATAAATAAATACTTCTCGGTAGTGTCAGTGCGTGGAATTAAATTTCATCAAAGAATTGGACACCTGTGGAACAAGTAGGAATTTTTATTATA